TGGGGTCCCACGAAAGCTTTGTCTGCTTGACCATGTTGCTGAAAAGACACAAGTCCGCTACTTCGGACAACCCTACTTAGAGTCTACTGAGCCTCCTTCCACAAAAGCACAACACCACGACAGACGATCGACTAACAGCAGATTACAAGACCTCACCACGGTTCAGGAAAACCGAGGAGCTCATGCAAAACCCGAAGCCCCAAACCATGAATTCTGACCATCCTCAGCCGCGAACCTGCGAGGACGCCTACGGCGCAGGAATTCTGGCGATCGTTCGGGACCTCCAGGTCATCCGAGCAGGCCATCTTCGGGGTTGGGCGCTAGGGTTGATTTAGGGCTAGGGGTTCAGGGTTGAGGGTTTCAGGGTCTATCTGTAAAGAAACTGATGATTATTGGCAAGGGCGCCGGCAGCACCCGTGCTGGATTGATGAGTCGGCTTTATACCCTAAACCCTCAAGCAGGTGTGTCGGCAGATTGTATCGCTGCTCAGCGATTGATAGAGGGATTCAGGATTTAGAGGATTTTGAGCCTTGATCCCTGGGTAGGCATAGGGTTGCCCGAAAGTGCCGGGTAGGTCTCCGGCTCAAAGATTGCTGATCGTTGTGGGCCTGCCTTTGCTGTGTTTTTGGTAGGGCTGTGCAGAGATGAAGGCAAGCCGCGGACCCCATAACAGGCCTCTCGCTTCGAGCACCTAGGCATGAGCAATACACCATGACCAATCATGAGCTTGTTTCTGCTAGCATAGAGTGGTTTGCTCCGTTGGGTTGGTTCGTTCCATGGGTTTGCAGTGTCTTGTTGAAAACCGTTGTTGGGTTTGCATCGAAACCGAACCTACTCAATGTGAAGTTCGAAGTACCCGTGAGACCAAAGCGCCAGCACATTCAATTTCCCCGAAATCGAAGGTTGGCAGTTTATTGTTTTTGTTGAAGTCCTAAAACCCATGCATAAAATTCATCAGCACCTTGAGCGAAGAGCACCTTAGCAGGTCCTTGGAGCAGCGAGGATGTGCAGGTGAAGGTGGTGCAGGCTGCGTCGAGCCACACAAGCTCGACGTCGAGTGCTTTATGCTTGAGTATAAGTGTAAAGGAGTATAGAAGCTTTAGCTGCAGTCGGTTTGCCACTTGCTGCGCCTTCCAAGAGGAGTGTGCTTGTGCCTGCGTCAGCTATTTCCATGTTTCTGCTGCATATCAGAGTGCATGTCATAGTGTTTACCAGGCTTATATGCTTTAGTAGAGGAAGGCCCAAACCCTTAATTCATTCGCGTTTAATCCCAGTCCTTTCCCAAACAAATTAGCTCTGAGGCGGTCATGGCACTAGGGCACTAGGGCATACGGTTCAATTCTAGGGCTCATGGGTTTGGACATCAGAATCAGAAAGATCAAAACTGAGATAATGCACTCTGTGCTAATTATTGGTCGCGATTGACTTAGGGGGTGGGGGGCAGCTTCTCTTCGCTAACATGTAGAAGGTGGCCGAGGCTTGGTCGAAGGATGCAAGCCGCATTTCGAACTTCGATATTCTGATCCGTACTGCATGTTTCAACTGTGCATGCGTGTGTCTTTGTGTGTGTGTGTCTGTATGGAGAGACAAGGCTTTACCAGCAGGATTTCCACACTTGCTTCATGAGGTCCAAAGCCTTAGACCCCAATTAATCTTCAAGGCCTGAGAACTTCAACCCTAAAATCTCAAGACAAAACCCTTAAACCCTCAAAGCTGAACCCTCAGACCCGAGTCCCAAATCCCCAAGCCTGTCAGTCCCGGTGCATGAACTTGCAAGAGCCAGGCTTCTTTTGCGCTGCTTCTCCTTTCCATGAACCTGCTGATGCAGCACAGAATCCCAGTCAAGTCGTTTTTAGGGTTAGGGTATAGGGCACGCGGGCCTGCATCATTACCCAGGCTTCGTGGTTCAGTTTTGTCTAAGGAGCCAGTTTCTAAAGTCCCAACAAAACAGAACTGGGGCGTTCCAAAATCTAGTTTGGTTGAAGACCCAGAACGTTGTATGTTTAGGAGCATGAGGCCTTGCATTGTCCAGGCTGTGAAATTCTAAAGCTTCGCAAAAGCGCGCCGTGAAGCATCGGCATCGGTGCTTGTGCAATCCTGGACCAGGAGTTCTTTGCCCCAGAACCCCGGTACAGCAATCCATACGACACTTACCTTGATCCTCTAGGTGGCGCGAAGCCCAAATCTTGAAACTAAACCCGCTTCTCCGAGCTCGGATTCCTTCCCGAGTTGTAGTCATCGGGGTTTTTGGAACAAGTTTAACTTCTCGCGGAGCTTCCAACTTCAAAGGAACGATTGCTTGTGGAGCCGTAGCAAGCAACCCTGCACGGCTTGTTGAGCGTGAGAAGGTATAGTGGTTAATTAAAAGGTTAAGAACAGATGAGCCCCGACAGGAGCTGAGCAAAGGTGCTTCCAAGTTTGAATGTAGGGTTCCAGGAAAGGTGACTTCCTGGAACCTGGTCCCAAAACCCGAGACCCCCTTTTGCAAGCAGCCAGAGCTGTGTGTTGCCCCAGTCGGTCAGATTGTTCGTGCCTACCCCATCAACTCCTCAATCTAGAGACGCCTGAAGGGATTTCGGTGCTGAGGAGTCTGCTATGCAGAGTTCAGTTTGGGATCTTCAGTTTTGGAGTTCCACGGTTGTGGGTCATAGGTTAGGGCAGTGCTTCTTCAAGTCGGCCGTGATAGAAACATGATACCCGGCTTTCTCCTCTTCAGCTCCAATGCCCAATGCGCATGCCGAGCAACTAAGAAGGACTTCCTTGTAGCAGAAGAGTCTTAAGCTGGAAGCAGACATGCACAAATTTAGCTAGCTAGACTTTCTGCCACATCCCAGAAGTTCTTCTCCCTTTGCACGGTCGTAGATCCATGATGGACAACCCCTGCCTGTCAAGCGTTTGGATAAAGCTTTTTTAAAGCCTGATGCTTTAACCCAGGTCAACCCATTAGAGGCCCAAGGGCAGTCCCAAGTCCTTGAACTTGAGGTTGGGGCTGCTATACTTCATCAACCTGTTTGTTGCAGCCTGGCCGATAAGCAACCTGGGAGATTCAAGGAGCACTGTGCCCTTTTACAGAAGGGATGGGCTCGAAGACAGGACGGTTGAATATTGAATGGCACATGAACGATTCGGGCTGCTTCTGATGATGATGATGACTGGCATCAGTCGTGCATGGCGCCCGGCAGACTAGTCATGTTCGCAAGAAGCATGGGGAGAAATTCGGAGAGCACTGCAAGAAGAGCAACCGTGTTGACCGTCACAACAGCAGAGTATTTTACTGGAGGCGCAGGCTACAGGGATTTGAAGCAGAGAGATACTCTTAGGGTCCCTAAATCCGACAGCCTGAACCTCCCAACAGTCCACACCAACCCCGCAAATGAGGGGACAGGATGTTACCCTGAGTACCTAAGCGAAGCCTGAGAGAGTGGCAACGGGTGTTCCCGCCATCAAGTATCCGACCCTGAAGACGAGCGGCCAGCAACGTTCTGCTCAATGAGAGCCTAAACCCGAAACTTGAAAGACGTTCTCATCATGCATGTCTCCATGAATCTAAGAAGCTTCGCAGCAAACCTGAAGAAAACCTGATTGATGTGGCGGGGGTTTTGGAGGTACGGGAAGCACTGTTTCTATCGTTTGTGGGTCTGCCTGAAAGGCTTCGGGGAGAGGCACTGAAAGTAGTCTGTTTGATTCTGAGCCTCAACCAGAAACGCACATCTGCTTGCAACTACGGAGGTGGGGCCTTCTGTGCACAAAATCCAGAGCCAGTATCTTCACTTTCACGAACCTTGCCACCGCAAGTTGTCGGGGTTTAGGGCTTCGGGTGTCGGGGTATTCGCGTCCTGGGGTTAAGGGTTTCTGGCTCAATGATATGGATCGTTCTGCTCCGTTTGCTGGGAATGGTAACTTGAGTGGTGAGGCATGAAGTCTGTGTAGCAATGCTGCCCCTCTGCCTAGAAAGCCGGCCATGAAATCGCCAAAGCCTCGCCATCAAGCACGCCACCGCAGATCCAAACTCCGAGTTGTCCACAAAACAGTCGTCATGTCCATGAAGTGCGACTGTATCATCATCCAAGAATGTTTCCGGCTGATCACGGTGACCTCGATGCAGCTTTGCCACTGATGCCTGCCACCCATATGAACTCACTGCTGCCCTTCTTGCACCTATATTGCTTTTTGATCCTTAACATCCGTCTCACCCTCATAATCTTGAGATTTATCACTTCAGGTGCTTGTCAACTACCAAGATTTTACGATTCGATGGCTCGGCTGCCAACCGAAGAACTGGAACAGTATGTGGAGGTCCTAAGGCGCTGGGATCTCTTCCGGTTCCCCGTGCTCATCAAATTCCCACGGCGAAGAACGATTTAAGGCGTCCGAGTGCACCGCCATACTTGCTTGACCATCGCATCGTCATGTCAGACGAGCCCGGCAGATTCGACAAAGACAAGGCCTGCTAGGACAGACAGAGTGCCTTCTATGCTCCTGCGGCGCACAGCTGTGCTGATTGACGACCATGGTCCGCCTCCCAGGTTGAAGTTGCCAGCAAAGTCTCGATTTGCCAGCACGTGCGACTGGTGGATCCTTCACTACCTCCACAAGCTGCATCTGTTCTGCCAACAGAGCAGCCAACCATCAGTTGAATCAGTCAACGGTGGCTCAACTGCTTCGCTGCGGCCGGTTCAGCCTACATAACTGAACATGCTAACCCAACTTGAGCTTGCAATTAGGCATGCAGCCGCATACTCTAACGGAATGGTGAACCCTGTAAAGCAGCCGGAGTCACCAGTTGTATGCCAACCTGTTGCCCCCAACAGCCCCCGAACGAGCAAATTCCGAAAACCCTTGGCACTGTTATTTTGCCTGTTCATCCCTAAGCTCCAAAAATCCTTCTAACAGCTGCAGCTACGATTGAAGAGCTCCCAGAATGCGTGTAAAACCCCCGGCAGGGTTTAGGTGATTCTGTCGGGTTTAGGGCTTGAGGTGCTTGGGGTTTTGGGTTTAGCATGGTTGGGAAGCAGCCGTCAACTTTGCTCTGCCCTCAGGAACGAGTCTTCGATTCAGACGGCAATTTCCTCAGGGAAGAGTGGGAGGACTACGACGGCGACTCGACAACGGTATTTGGGGTTCCAGCAGGGTCCCGTTCAGAGCGCCACAAGATCTTTGTTCTGAGAGTGCCAAAAACTACTGCTGTGGCCGTGGGCGAGGGTTGAGGTTTGTGACAGTACCAAACTGCAAGTTGACCCGCTTACGGAGAATACGTCGAGTCTTGTTGCTCTACTTGTATCACGTGGTCGCCCGGCAGATATGTCCCGGCGTTCACGGACACCTGCTTCCTCCCCATGACAATGCTACAAACCCGCCTCCCCCTGTAAAGTGGCACGGTTCCACCCTCGCATGGAGTCTAAACGGGCATTTTCAGGAGGTATAAGCGGGGAGGACGCGGGATGAGCCAAGGTTTGTACATCCCCTCCCCTTCTTAGACGGACACGGCTTCTTCTTTGCGCGGGGTTTTTTCAAGGGAGTCGAACTGGAATTAGAAACGCTCACTGACGTGACAGCAACACAATTTTGACACGTCGAGATCCTGCTAAGCAATGCAGCTCGGCAGCAACAATGACATAGCTAGTTCATGAAGATACGTTTGATACGCTCGTGTTGCATAAGTATGTGCGTATATATATATATATACATATACATATATACATATACATATATACATATACATATACAGGTAAGGGAGCATATATATATATATGTACATAATATGTTTATTTCTTTGTTTATATTGTTTGTTTATTCACATGTACGTACATATGTGAATGACGCACGTAGAAATACATATATATATATACACATATACATACTGACCCAGCCCCTATTGACCCACATTTCCTCCTCATCAGTATATACCGATCCACAATTGCGTTCCGAAAGAGGAGCGGAAGAGGAGCCAAGTCCAAGTCCGTTCAAGCGGAACTTTTTTTTTGCATGAACTTGCATGTCCAGTCCTTCGTTGTATCAAAAGAGAATACCTCCGCACAAAAGATACGGCAACCTCAAAAACCAGAAACACCAAACAAAAGCACCAAAAACATCAGCCCGATAGGGAGTCTGAATAAGGCATCAAAACAAAACAACAAATAAACAACAGTCGAAAATAAGCAAATTAGAAGACCGAACAACTCAAACAACAAGCCGCAAAAAGACCAAACCAAACACAAGTATGTATATATATCTATATATACAAAATAAAATGTCTAGCATAGGTCTGAAACAAGGTGTTCTTCTTTTTGTTTGTTGTTGATGGGCTTTCATTTGTTCGTTGTCGTGCTTGTTGTTTTTAGTCGTCGAGCTGCTTTAGTTGTGTTTTGTATGTTCGAATTGTTCGGCTTTGGGTGCCTGTTCCGCGGTGTTGTTGCTGGTTTCCCGCGCGCGTTGGTCTTACACCGGGAATTTGCATGTGCTCTTCCTGTCTGGTGCGATTCACGAGAAAGTTGTAAATTATGTTTAACTTGTTATTCTCTGCAATGTCCAGTCTTGAACAAAAACACTCACGTAATAGTTAGTTTCTGCTAAGCTAGTTCCAGACTAGCGAAGGTGTTGATCCTTTCCGGCTGATATGCGTGTATGTGTGCATTAAAGACAGGCAAATACATGGATACATATGCATATCTAGAAGTACAGATATATTTATATGCATCTGTATGTATATATATATACATGTCTGCATATATATATACACACACACACTTGTACTACATGTTTTTTCTCCTTAACACATACATAGACGACATAGCCATGTCACTGTAGGGCTTGACATGCAAATCTGCTGATGTCTGGCTATGTAAAACCCTGCGGGGTATAAATTTGTAGATGATGAGTCTTCATTGACTTGTATGCAGTGGTTTTGGCTGCGACCGAAGTACATGCTGCCACAGCAGAAGACCACGTGCCTGAACACCATAATCCTATCTTGCCGCTCCGTCACCATTATTGTTGCTGCTGTTGTACTACATGCACATGATGAAGAAGACCCTATCCATGTATGTATGTACGGTTAAACCCAACGAATAAGCAACAATAGAAAAGTCTAGATACACAGACCGGATCAAGAGCAGATCTTGCGATCTTTGTACTTTTCCGTTCGCAGCTTGATGTGCTTTTCCAAACAGAAAGCAAATCTTCGAATCCTGATTGGAGCTTGGTTGTTCTTGTGGATGCTGTCATTGTAATTGATACTCGCATTTTCCTGCGGACCCTCATGTAGGAATGGCTTTGCAAGTTTGTAGTGCGTCGGGGGTCCATGTGCTGTTTGGCTGCTATTTGGCATTACTTGTTTTTGCTTATATACATACCCTATGTTTCTGTCTCAGCTGGTCCTTGGCGCTCGTTTAGCATATCTACATTGCCAGCTTTCCATCTCTAACATCATGTAGATCATATGTAAAGCCCCAGTCCGTTTATAAGCACGAGGATCAACAACAGTAACAGCACCACTCTACCTCTACCTCTCCTTCAATGGATCATGTCGGTTGTTTCCACGAGGGAAGCTCTGGAAGCCCGAGTAAGGACCGAAAATTCAGGTCCCGTAGATCCGGAAGCCTCAAGCCACCCCAAGAAGTCAAGCTACTCGGTGCTCAGGCAAAGAAGATTTGTGTCCACGGCCAAGACTTTCCCGGTTTTTGGGCCGTTGGCGGGTTTAACGCAGAACTGTCACGAAGACAGTATCTTCGAACTGTGCTAACACGTGCCTGGAGACTTTCCCGCAGAGGGCAGGAGCTGTTGGAGCTCTTACAGTGCGGAGTCTTCTGCTTGTGACTCTAGAACTACTGTTCCCAACACCTAAGCCAGCCCAAAGCTCTACAACCTTAGACTCCAAGATCCTGCAATCCTACATCCTACACCAGAAGAAGATGAAAGAAGTTGGTTCAGCCCAGCCTTAGTCATGAACCCCTATGTTAAGCGTGAACACTCTCATGCTCCAAGCTGTAAAGCCTTAACAGTCCCAAAGCTTCAGACCCAAGCTCTGAATCTTTGAACCACAAAGCGCTTCAACCCGAAGCTGTGCCCTAAACTCCCGGGACCAGGTCAAATCGGCATGTCGAGTCCACTCTTCTACTTCACCGTAGTCTTTCTTTGGGTTCCTGTGGCAGCACTCAGCTTACGGCTTGTTGCAGTTATGCAGCTGAGTTGGGATTTGAGCCATTTACTGGTCGCACTTAGACTTACCTGGCGCTTTTGTTGTGGAGACCACGCGCCCCTTTTCTTTGCATTTCCCTACAAAGCCGCTACACAAGGGTTTACACTGCGATCCTAGCAGACTTTGGCAACGGGCTCTAGTAATCTAGTAGATGAAGGTAGCAAAACCTTGCTGAGCAAGCACCTGTTGACAATTGCACTTAGCTGATCCTTGAGAGACCCTGACTGGATAGCGGACAAGAGCTTCGCTCGGGCCCCAAGCCCGATTTAGGTCTTCAACCTTAACTTTAAAAAAAAACTATTGAGATATGCAAAAACAGGAACGTGGCCGGGTCAGAACTCTGGTGATCTGGTGATTTGCATCGTGTTGTCTTTTTCTCTGGCTATCACCTGCCATTGAGGGTTTAGGGTTTAGGCTTTCGGTTCCAGGGCCCTAAAGCTGCATAGGCATGTTGGCAGCTTCCCGGCCTTAGGTTCTGCTGATCGTTCGCGAGCTGCGAACGACAGAACGACTGGCTCGGGACAGCAAGCTGTCCTGAGCCCAATCCCTAAGCCCTTGACTGCTAAACTGCCAAACCCTAGTTCTCAATCCGAAACCCGACGATTCTGCTGGTTTGTCATTTCGGCCTTTCGAGGTTTAGAAGTTTAGAATTCAGGGCGCACATTGAGGGTTTAGGGATTCACTTGTAGCTGGTACTTTGCAACTTTGGGTTTCGGGCTCGGTGCTGGGGCCCCAGGGTGAGGGTCTCACAGCTGATCGTATAAGCATCTAGGGTTTGGGGCTAAAGACTTCAGCCACTAGTGTTAGGATGTAGGGCGTGGCTGATCATACTTCAGAACCAGAACAGGACATATGGTGAGGGTCCTAAAGGGCTCGGGGAATGCCAGTTCCGATTCGCAAAGCTTGCCATGAGCCCCACTCGACACAAACAAAATGACGTCTCTCAAACTATGGGTGTCTGATAGAGGACGGTGGACCCACAATCCACCTTCTTAACATTGCCACCAGTAACATGATTGGATTCTGAGGGTTTGCGGCCTGCAACTGGGGGGAACACCACTAAAGACTGATCGATGTTACACTCAAGACGCGTTGTGGAAAGATCCTTCTCGGACCTGCTGGATTTTCAAAGCTTCTGTCCGCTGAAGAGGGGAAAATGGTCGATTTCACAATCAACATTCCTTTTGTACAGAAGCTTGTTTCGGCGCCCCTTCTAAATGCCAAAAAGGGAACACACAAAAATCAAGACTTTTTGTCAATTTCACAATAAGCTCTCCTCCTTTTGGAAAGCCCTGCCGTTTGCGAACCCCCCTGAATGTTCAGAGTGGCCGCTAAATGGGGTGGCCCCTTGGATGGCCGCAAGATGGTGGTGGCAACGGAAGCCAAATGCTTGAGGCCTAATTTCTTACAAGCCTGCAGAGACCCCGGAATTGCATCTACAACCTTACACAACCCTGCAATACCCTAAATTAACCCGCCTTGTGACAGGACATTTGGAGCATGCCCTCCTGCAGAACGAGCGCTGCAATGACCGGCGAGGACTCTGACCACCACGTCGTGCAGGCCGGGGCGCAGTCTGAAAGGGCCGCAAGGGCTTTCGGACGAGTTTGGGTAGAGCTCAAAGCTTCAGAGTTCAGGAGTGCGAGTTAAAGGCTCAGTTTGAAGCCAACAGCAAAATCTGGCGATTGCAACGATCATTGTCTTACACCCACCCGACATTCAGCACCCCTCGCTTTGCAGCGCTGCCTTTGCAGGCCTTCTGGCATGACTGTCCTGGTTCCGTCTGCAATGTTACAAAGCATGTCAAAGTCTTAGTCCCAAGAAGCCCCAAACCATGCTCCTCGCCGGGGCCGAGAGTGCAGTGTAGCCCAATGCCCTGAACGCCGACATTGAATCCCACTGCCTTTGAATTGGTGCAGGTCGTCGCCCTTACTCCTTGCGTGCGAACGCTGAACTTTGGCACTGAACTCTCGGGCAGTAACGGTTTAATTGGCTTTGGCTTTTGGGCTGCTTGCCCCGATGTTACGATTTCCGGTGATGATGATTGCGATCAAAACTGTACTGTTGATACGACGCGATAGGACCATTGCTCTGGTACTAGTGGCAGCAGCAGTCGTAGTCGTCGTCTCTTGGCGGTCGTCGTGTGAGTGCAAGTCGGGGATTTACGGGCTCTTGCTTGGATTTGCTAAACATCGGCGTTTTTGGTGGGGCCGTAGTCTTAGCAGTAGCGGTAGCGGTAGCGGTAGCGGTAGCGGTAGTAGTAGTAGTAGTAGTAGTAGTAGTAGTGCTGCAGCAGCAGCAGCAGCAGGAGCAGCAGGAGCAGGAGCAGCCATAGCATCAGCAGCAGAAGTCGCAGTACCAGTAGCAGTAAAAGAAGAAGCAGAAGCAGTGCAGGAGGAGGAGGAGGAGTCGCAGTCGCAGTTTAGTAGTCGTCGTCGTAGTAGCACTAGTGGCAGCGGCCGTCGTGGTCGTCGTCGTCGTAGTAGTTGTGGTAGTAGAAGTAGTAGCAGCACTTGCAGGAGCAGTGCATTAGTAGTCGTTGTCATCGTAGTAGTAGTCGTCGTTGTTGTGGTGGGGGTGGCAGAGGCTGTTTTTGTTGTCATCGCAGCAGTAGCTTGAGCAGTAGCAGTACGGAACAGTAGCACCCATAGGCACCCATAGCAGGAGGAAGAAGATCATCAGTGTTGTCGTTGCCTAAAGAGTGCGGGGTTGCGCCCGGTGTCGGGAGGCAGACAGGTGGTCATTGTCATAATTCACGTCGTCCATGTCATCGTCGTTGTTTGCGCATGCTTGTCGCATAGTCACGGTTGCGGGCTCTGCTTGTCGGCTGCCGTTGCTGTTTGCATGAATTGTTCCCGATTCCCGATTCCACGTGTCTCGACCAGGATCATCGTAAATGATCTGGAACATGAATATCGGCAAGTTTGGGCATTACACTGCATTCAGACGTTTTGTTGGCGTAGAGCTGATACTGGCTAGCGATCATGATGGGATGCGCTGCAGGCTATAGGTAGAAGCAGGCGATGTGGTAATTCCATCACTCTTTCGCCATATGTGTTGGATTAGTTTATAATGCATGTGTGTAGAGCATTGTCTGCAACATCTTGTACTACAAGACTGCTTTGAACGTGTTCACTTCGACTGCTCATCTTACGCGTTCGCCAGACAATAACTGCTCAAAAACGGCCAGTTCACGTCGTGTGCTTCCTCAAGGTCGGTATCACCCCGTGTGCATCCTGCATCAGCCTGCAGTTTAGGGTTTGGGCCTAGAATCTGCGGTTTGCGTGTGGTTCTTGAGGCTTTGCGGTTAGAGTTTAGGGTGGAGTGGATGGTTCGGTGTTCCTGTGAGACTAATGATGTGGAAGTTCTTGCCCCCAGCTATCTGCGTTCATCTCCCTGAATCTCCGCTTGCCTCGTGTCTGAGTCTAGACCCGGATCCCTCAGGATCTACTTCATGGTCATCCTGCCTAAGCTGGTCATTTGCTGCACCTTGCCAGGGCCTTGCACACTTTGGGTTTAGGTTCCAACCTCGATGGACCCGCACCAAGCTGTAGCAGTCAGATGTGTGACCGTTCAGATGGTCACCGCGACACTCAGGCGGTCATCGATGTAAGCCACCACAAGAATTCTCTTCAATAATCCTGCTGTTGCGAGCATTTGTCGGGCCAGCGTCTATTTACAAGGGGTTGATGACAATGGCGTAGGTGCATGTCTAGCTTCCACAGTAGTGCCCTTCTGCCGCTTTTGTTTCAGGGTTCCCTTATGGTTCAAACTAAATAACAGGAGCCGGGTACTCCTGTTTGAAGGGGCCACTGGGAAACTGGATTTGCATGAACAAACAATGGAGTTGGATTGTGTGGCATGTTCAAGGCATCCAGAGCTATTCTCTAGAGGCTTCCTCAGGGTTTGATTTCGATGCAGCAGAACTCGCTGTCTCAAACGTTGCAACCGATCACTGCAAGCTGCAGCAAGTTCGTTCGTGGGTGTCAAGTTTCTTGTCGGGGTTCGGTGTGGGAGCCTGAGTGGCTGGAAACTGTGATATCATTCGGCACTTGGGGCTCTGTCAGTATATACTCAGGCTACTATATTCATCAACAAGAAGCCCGCAAAACCGATTGCAGCCGCATCAAACAAACGCGCCAAAATCTGGGATCCCCTAACAGCAATTTGGACCCATTAAAGTCCGAAGTAGCCCCGCACCCAAACTCTGAACCGGAGTGGCATGCGGGAATCCCGGAAAACTATAGTACATTGTGTTTGGGGGTCCGTACGAGACGGATTTACGCGTCGTTGTTTGTAGGAGCCCTTTTTTCTGAAAACCCGAAACATTGCACCCTAAACCCGGCACCCTGGCTCCCAGGATGTACTTGGGATGCCAATGGCTCACGGCAACCAACTCCTTCGCAGACCTAGCTACTGGCCTGCAGCAGTAGAATGTTTAGGGTTGCTTGCAGAATCACCCCCTAGGGTTCAGGGTTTGGGGAAATGATGACGACGCTGATGCTGCTCCTGAACATGATCATGATGATGCTAGTGATCATGGCGATCATGATGGGATGGTGATGTTGATGGTGCTGGTGATGGCGATGGCGATGTTGATGATGATAGTGATGCAGACGATGATGAAGATGATGGTGAAAACGATGATGATGGTGATAATGATGACTGAAAGTCCTAGTTTGTGTATGGCTTTTCCTGCGGGCTAAATCGGTGCACTGCTTGGGTTGACATAAATCGTAAGCCCTAAAGGCCCTAAACCTTCAGCTTAAGAACCTAAACCTTGACGTGAGTGGCAAATGCGAGGCCGAGCTCCAGTCCGAGCTCTAGTCTTGTAAAAACGGCGGCGCAGCCCGCACAACTGCGACTGCCACCTACGAATTGGTGTGGCAGGCCTGTTCACCCAACCTTAGGCCCTAAATCCTAGAACCCCAAACATCGAAGGCCTAAGTCCCTCCAACTTCGATTCATAGCCTCAACAGCAAGAGCCGGTGAAGAGGCTTCCTGGATTCCTCGTGCTAAGGTGATGAACAGCATCGCCATGGAGTTTGTCGCTGCCCCTGTTTTGAGAACGTATCTGAGGATGTTTCGTTGCTTCAATGCAGCAGGCTTGCATATGAGTCACATGAGTCATTGAAAGACGGCCATAGCCAGGTACCCTAGACTCAGAACCCGACAGTAAAACTCTGAAGCCCTTGAACAACAGCCCCACCTATTATCGAAACGCTCCCTGTGACCTCGGCACGTGCCAGGTGACGGGTGTCGATGAGGCCCTCTATGAGACCTTGCTCCCAGTGGCGCACAGGAGCGGCACAACATGAACCGTCGTAAAGCCGCAGCAACTGCAACGACAGCAGCAATTCTAAATGCCGTTGCCTTGCTGATGGCCACGGGAGCAGTACCGACGGTGTGATCAGCACTGAGCAGGACAACAGCAAATCAACGACGGAAAGATAAAGAAACCACGACAAATGCTTCGCTCACAACAAGAAAGCCAGCTTGTTTACCTCTGTGAAAACCGTAGAGTTCATCAGTCCAGTTTGAACGCGCAACTTTCATGACTGACACTGGTGCCTTCCACCCAAACTCGTGTACCGTGGAAGCTTCAAGACTCTGCCGGCGTTTTGTTTTGAAACAGACAGAGGTGTGGTGTGGAAAAGCCAACAGAAGTCCGTGACTGCAAGATCGGTAAGGCTTCGTGCCAACCAATCGCGACCAACCACATTCGTCTCTGTCACCGTTTGTGGCAGAGTGCTAGATCGAGCCCGTCCTTTGTTCTTTGCGACGGTCTTAGCGTTTTTGAAGTCAGACTGGGGATTCTGGGCTGACCGTTTTAAGATACCTGGGCAGGAAACAGGTGGCTGACATCAACTTCGTCACCTACCGGCCACGTGCTGGTGGCAGGCTGACAAACCCGTGCTGACTCCCCTTGAAAAGATGGTTGAGGTGTTGCAGGGAGTCTGTCAGGTGTCGCAAATTCGCAAATCGTTCAGCTCTCCTTCAGCTGCTGCTAATGGTGCTGATGGTTTCTGCTACTGCTACTGCTACGCTTCCCCGAATGTAGGAGTTGTTATTTTTTATACTGGGTGACAACTTAAAATCCATGCGACAATTGGTTTATCGGTGGGTTTGCTGCTTACAGGAGTTAACTTTAGTAGCTACGATCGCTACATTGCTAAAATGACTCAATGTAGTGCATAGCAACCCCCATGTGTGCCGCCGAGTTCGGTCTACACGAAGCAGAAACAAGTGTTTCGGGTTTCGGGGTTGGAGTTTAGGGGCTAGGACAATAGCTGCACGAGATCCTTGAGCCTTCCAATTCCAAGCTACGGGAATACACAAGTTGGGTTTCAGTGGAACCTACTCGTGATCGTGCGAACGTAACCTGTTCACGTCTGGTATGACCAGAGACAGGCGATGTCAGGGCAACAAGTTCCGGCAACTAGCTCTTTACCACGAGCGTTCAGCTGTAAGATGCATATAGAAGCTCAATACATCAAGTCAAGTAGCTTTATCCTTAACCCAAGTTGCTGGCTGCTGTTGGTCGTCTAGACTCTAACCCCAACTCCCTCAAGAGTTTGTTTTCCCGATGTTGAGGTTTCCACGTATCTAAAAGGTCGGAGGCGCTCATGCATAACAGCTTAACCAGCTAACACTTGTCTGTTCACTGTTTGCAGGTCAAAGGAGTTCGCCGCCTTTAAAAGATCGTTCATCTACTTGCCTTGCCCTGAGCCTGAAGCATTGAGTAGGTCCCGGATGCTGCTCCATGGATTGCCGGGTGGAAGAGACGGCGGTGGTAGTCGTGGTGACATCGACGGTGCTTGTCATCGTCGTCGTAGTAGTTGTTGTCGTTGCAGGAAGAATGCGGAGCAGGAGGAGGAGGAGGAGGAGGCCGTGGAGGGCGGAGAGGAGGAGTAGGGAAGGGGTCCGGGAAGGAGGAGGACGAGGAGGAGGAGGTGTGCTTGAAATGAAATAGCACCAGGGCCAGCAACATACTGTTGAACATCAAATTGGGGTGGCAACTGCCTTAACCTCTTTTGGGATGCTAGGTTTTTGGACAGTGTAAGTCTCCTTACCTTGTTTCAGGGCTGGGGGTTGCCGAGTCTTGTGGCCTATTCTGTCAGCTGGATATTTGCCGGTCTTACTCCTTTCCAGGGTTTGTCAGGCTTTAGCTTACCGGTTGTTCCTCTTTTTCGGCTCACGGGAGCGGCTCAGCTTGGAATTTCGCGCTGAATCAAGACCCTGCTTCAGCACAGCTCCCGGTGCTCCCGGGGCAGACTTCTCCGTCGGAGCGACAGCAGTGGTAGCGGCATGCAGCAGCAACAAAGCTATGAGTGTAAGTTCCGGAACGGGAGGACGAGGAGCCGCAGTGGTAATGCTCGTTGTTCGGTGATTGTTGCACACTTGATCGTGTCGTTGGCTTGCAGCTTAACATCACTATGCGTGCTTTTGTCGTTGCGCTGTTTCGTGGGTGGTTTTTCATGACTCCGACTCGAAGTCCAATGGCTGGGTGGTAATGAATCGGGTGCCAAGGCTCTTGTCGACCCTGCTGGTCATTTTCTATAAATGGCTCGGGTTGGAGCCCCAGACAGTGCGGGGTCGGGACTGGCATCTTTCAAGGCCCAGTCGCGAAGCTACAGTACGGTTCAAAGAAGCAAGATTTTGTTGAGAGTGGGGAAGAATGTTGCTTCCACCTGCGCATGTACTTGCCTACATGTCTAGCGCAATCGATTCGTCTATCGTGCACGATCTTTCTCGGTACTTCGTAGTCGTAGTCCAGCCTTTCTGTTTCTCATCTAGCCTACCCCTTTCCCGACCTTTAGAATTACTCAAGATGCAGAGTTGCATCATGATAGTGGCGTTCGTGATGGTCACCGAAGCTTCTGTGGCTGCTGACGATCACGGGGTCTGCTGAAGATGATGGGCATGTGGACAAGCATACGGATGAGGACGATGATGATGATGATGATGATGAGCCAGGACGAAGCAGAATTATGTTGGATGTGCGGGTGCAGACTGCTGAACATGATGTTTCGATGATGAAACAGAACATGACAATGCTGTTCATGATGTTCGATGACACTGAGTCTGCCGATTGTGCTGACGACAATCACGATCATGCTGGTACTGTTCATGCCTAGTAAAGACTGAGCAAAGAAATTGAGCCTCGGGTCACGCAGATGAACATTGCTGGAGCATCAAGGATGCAGTCGGGAATGTCAGAACAGGGAGCCGCCCATGCCGTGTTTTACATAGAAGTTAGTCATCAGCAACAGAGTCAAGTTCAGTATCTACTACCGCGGTCAGTCTAACACTCTGCGAGGCCACCACCTTGTCCCATCCCTTTGTTTGCCGCACCCACTGTACAAAGCAAGTGGACGATCAAGCCGGGAAGAGACCCTAAAGAAAGTACAGCTGCAGGAAGAATAAGCAGCGACACAAGAGCAAGCAAGCTAGCGGAATAGGCGCATGTGGCATTCAATAGCACTGTGGTAGATACAATGGAAGCTTTCCACTCCAGGCAATGTGATGTGCAATACCCATGCGGTGTCGATACAGGTAGGCAGCTCAAAACGACACACATTTAGAGTGCAACGACACATGGGCAGACCAACTACAGCTGTCAAGCAATCTTGAACCAAGGACTTCACTCAAACAGACAATGCTTTTTGCTGGCTTCAAGACCTGTGCCCTGAGGCAAACCGTGCTTCCAGAAAATATCTCCGACTTGAAGGACGATTCTTGAGCTTCTTTTTCGGGTAACTCTTCCTTCCCCACGCCCTAAGTTCTCGAAACCCTCAGCGCTTGGTGTTATTTGCCATTTTGTCTTCAGGGAGACTTACAAAATGGGCATCGTCGGTTCCCAGCAAAGGGTTTCATCAGAGAGTGAGTCAGGGAGTCTTCAGCACCGGAGCACCGGGCAGTTGCACCACTGCCCCTCCTCCTCGTCCTCTGCCTCCAACTCCTGCACCTGCTCCTCCGCGTCTGCCACTGCCACTACCACCACTAGTACGACGACTACTACTACTTCTTCTTCGTCCTACTGCTCCTGATGCTATGCTATTGCTACTGTGACTGCTCCTCTTGCTACTGCTACCACCAACCAGCACCACCAGCACCACAACCACCACCACCACCACCACCACCACGACCACCACCACCACCACCACTAGCCCCCTGCAAGCACTTCACCACGAATGATTCGCGTGGGGGGCGCTATAAAGAAAAGTCTGAAAATGGTATTGAGCCCACTAAATTTGTTTTGGGGGGGACCCTGTACAGAAACGTTTCTTCCCGACCCATTTTCTGGGAAGCGGGACTTCCCGAAACAACACGAAGCCTCCACCGAGGTGCAGGGTTTCGGGATGAGGCCCGGCTATCTGGAGGGGCCTGAGGCCTGACGTTTAGGGTTCCCTACTAAACCGATTATGCGGGAAGGCCGGGCCATCAACAGGGCCTTCGGACCCCAAATAGACTGACAAGATTTGGAGTGCTACGTTTGCCCAGCTGCCTGAATCGGTCTGAAGCCAGCGACGTCCTGGGTTCCTTACTATATTAACCCCTTCTGCTGGGAGGCCAAGCCGGAGCCCAGCAAGGCCTTTGGACCCCAGTTTATGAAAAAGATTTGGGCATACCCATTTATGCCAAGCTTCTCGGCCGGGCGGGGCGATTTCTGCATCACTCCTACTACTAGGCTTCGTCCGTGAGGCTCGGGCTTAGCGTAGCTTCCTGCGCCGGCAACACGTTTTTGTTTGGGGGATGGGGACACCCCACACTCACCAGCCACCTACACTAAGAGCTTCACACAAAGGCACCGGTACCCCTTTACCTCTAATTACACCCGAAGCCCAAACAAACTGGATTAACCTGGCTTCCAGGAAGCTTGCCAAGACGTGAACGCTCAGAAGCGTGTTTCTCTCTGCCACCTCGACTGCAATAGGGTTCGGGGCTAAGGGAAAGCAGGTATTCGAGGCGCTTTAGCTCTAGCAGATGGAACAACCCCGGTACACCAAACAATAAGCAGTAGCAGTAGCTGTTGCTGTAGATGTAGCAGCAGTGTGCAGCAGCAGCAGCAGCAGCAGCAGGAGCAGCAGCAGCTGCAGCAGTAGCAGCAGTAGCAGCAGTAGCAGTAGCAGT